AGGAAGGAAGGAAGGAAGGAAGGAAGGAAGGAAGGAAGGAAGGAAGGAAGGAAGGAAGGAAGGAAGGAAGGGTGGAGGGAGCCTTCATTCTTACTGAGCTAACAGCTCGTTTAAAGATACAAAATGTACTAAATGTCTCCGGCTACTCCCTGTAACACTAACACTTTTGTCTTTGAAGACCAGAGCCTGCAAATTGTGTAGCTTTGTGAACACTCCTCCCTTTCTGCTAGGGACCAAAATGCCCGCTGTGTCTGATGTCACAGACAGTCCAGGCAGCGACCAAACTCTGCTGATTTCTGCCTCCAGTAAGCACCAAGGAGGAGAATCAATCCCTCACAGCCTCCCGCTTTTACTCCCCGCAGCTTTCCAAACAAACCGGGGCGGGATGGGAGTGTCTTCTTGGCTCTGGAAATCAATCCTCCTACCTTGTCCTGAAGCTACCCGCCGCCCTTCCCGGGCCCTCCCTTCGCAGTGATTTTCCTGTCCTGGACTCCGGGCAAGACCGAGCGGACCCCGCCCTAAAGGTAGGAGCCCGGTCCCGCGGCTGCCGCCCGGAGGGTCTCAGAGCCCTCCGCCAGTCTCCGCGCTGCACTTTCGGCGCGAACTTGGGGGCGGCGGCCACGGTGCATCGGGCGCCAGCGACAAGGAGGAGCTTCCAGCGGCGTCGCACGCAGCCGCCGGGGACGCGGGGCCGGGCGCCGCGGACAGTGAGGGGACCGGCGGTCGTGTCGGACTCCCGGAGACGCAGCGCCCTGCTCTGCTCCCCCGGGGCCACCTCTAGGGAGAAGGGATCGTGTCCGTGCCACCTCGCTTAGGCTTCCGCTTGCCCCGGGCTTCGGGGACCCGATGCGACAGGCTCCACGGGACGGAGGGCAGCGCGCTGCGGAGAGCGGAGAGCCCCGGCCGTGGAGTCCCGCACATGCCTCTGCCGTCACCGCGCCCGGGCCTCGGCGGGTAACTCTCTGCGACTGGCGGCGCTGCCGGTTTGCTTGGCTGGGGGTGCGGGGAGACTGCGTTCCACATCCAGCTCGGGGGTTTAGGGGTGCTGTCCAAGACAGTCCGCTTCTGCAACCTCTGAGGAGTAGGGAAGGGGACTCTGTGCGCTCTCAGTCCCCTGCGAGCCCTTGGAGAGGTGCGGAAGCCATAGGGCCCTGAGACCCTCCCAGCCAACCCGGTGTGCGGGGTGGCGGGCCGGGAGCTCTCCCGCAGTGTCCTGGAGCTGCTAGGAAGGACCTCCGGCGAGTAGCGCCCAGAGGGGCATGGGGACCCGCCTCTCCTTGATCTCCCCCGAGTCTGTGCGCTGGGAGGCCGACCCGGGTGCATGGTTCCTCGCTCACCATTGTTTGTGAAAGGGTCTGGAAGCGAGGAGGGGCGAGGGAGCCTGGAAGGTTCTCCTCATTTCCCACACAAAGTTTCCCGAGAAATCCTCCTTGCCACGTTAAAACTAAACCTAGCCAAACACCGGGGCAGTTTGTTTGGCGCAAAGGGCTAAGCTGAGAAAACTGCTGTTGGGGCTGCCGTGAAATTTTTAAGATAAGGGAGAAGAAACGTGTTATTTTGCGGTCGTTGCCTCGGGAGCTCCCGTGGGCTTCAGCTCCCTTCTTGTGCACTGTTATTTTGGCTTAAAAGAAAATCTGTTAAAAAAAAAAAAGCGAATTCTAGAAACTAAAGAAACTCGAAGCGCCTTCTTTTAGGATCTTCAGAGGAAGCCAGGAGAAGGACAGGCTGGGGTGAAGAATTTTGTTTAAAGGTAATGTTTAAAATTGTAGGTGGGGTGGGGTGGGAAGGACGTAGTAGATGCTAGCCTATCAGAAACCACACAGCTTCTAAATTCTGAAGTCAAAATTATTTTTCAGAGGGCCACCTTAGTACCATGATTAGTGGGCGGTTTAGAATCGCAGATCCGTGTTGGCTCCAGTGCCCCATCCTGCTGACCTTCAGGCCTAAGTAACACTTCCTGAGATATCCATGGCCGCTTCTATTAGGCTTCCCTGACTGTTTGACTTTCCGGGTCTTCAGACCTAGTTTTCCCTTCCAGCTTCTGACTGTGGAACTATCTTTTTATTTACACGCTGTTGTTAAACATTTGAGAGGACCTGATCAAAATGCCTAGTTATTTTTCATCAGAAAGCAAGGTGATTTGATGTTTGTTAATTGGTTCCTGTTGCCTCCTCTTCATGTTACCAAGGAATTAGTTCCTGTTGCCTCCTTTTCATGTTACCAAGGATTGCTTTTCAAACCAAGATCAGGAAAAGAACAAACAAAAAATCCCCCTTAGTTAGTTTGACTTTGAATAAGGCTATCTGTTTCAGAGGCTCCTTAGATAATGGCAATTTTGGATCAAGGGAACTTTTGTAGGAAATATTTGTGTGAGTCTGACTTGTTTTTCCAAGCTGCCTCTAAGGCTAATGTAGAAAGGGCAGAGTGGTCATTCATTGCTTAGTAGCCCTTTCCTTGAAAAATGTTCTTGCCCAGTCCCTGCCTGAACGTCACTTTCAGATCCCACTGTGTCTTGATGTAGAAGTCAACTAAATGGCACTGTAATTGTGAAAACATTTCAGGAGACTGATGGCAGGTGCCCCATTTTTTCCCCCTATCCCAAATCAATACAAAAAGAATGTAAGAATCAGGAAGAGTACATGGGCCTGACAGAAGAATGCAACCAGAATGCATCAGTCTGTCTTTTGCAAAACAGTAATTCTCAAGTTTCCCATTGCAGAACTCAGTGGCAGAGGACGGAATTCCACAGCCCCTTCCTTCTGTTAGAGATATTTCCGTGTTCCACATTGTGAAGCACAGATGAATAATGTCCTGCCTCCTACACTCCCCAATAAGCATTGTCAGCTCACCACACAGATTCCAGATGGCTTTCAGGGAAATTATGAGTCTTTACAGGATTGGGGACATCCCTTTAACCTGCAGCTAGATAATGTCCGTGGAAGAGGGGATGGCAGCATGGAGTGTGTATGGAGCACCCAACTTTGGTCCCTGGTGTGCTCTTCCAGGTCATGTCATGTAATTTTCCCAGCAATATTGAGACAAAGACTTTAGCTCCCCTTTAAAGTTTAAAACAAGAAGACTTCTTTAAGTTGAGCTGCAATGAATCCTGTGAGTTTGTCTCTGCCCATTTTATGTCTATGAAACCTTACAAATGACACAGCATGCATTCTTCACCAATTCTTCCATTCTTTGTTTACATCTTCACACACACACACACATACATTCACACACACACACACACACACACACACACACACACACACACACTCACTCACACACTACTTAGAGCTTGATCTGGTTGGTGGGTCCTTCCTAATTAGCACCCCAGAGAGGCTGGAGAGATGGTTTGCATGCTTTGGTGCCCTTTGCATTGGACACTCTCAGATTTTCACTTTGTGTCTGTAGTCTGTAGAGTTTTAATGTACCCGTGGATACACTGTATCTGGCTAATCTAGGCAGTCAGCTCTCTCCAGTGGGTTATATTCTAAACTTCTTTGCTTCCAAAAAAATACAGTTTTATGGAGGCTCCTCCTTCCCTTCAAAGGCCGGCTGTGTCTTGCCTGTCAGCAGTATTTCAGAGTCCCATTCTCATCTGTCACGATAAAAGGAAGCTTTCTCTTATGTACTCCTACTACCTTGGGTAATAGCATACTCCACAGTTCGGAGTTAGCTCTTATGACTTGAAAATGTGTTGGAGAGAGAGACATAACTCAACGGGTAAAAGTGCTTCCTGTCAAGTCTGAGATCAATTGTGGGGACCTATGTGGTGGAAAGAAAGAACGGATCCCAAAAGATGTATAATGTCATGGAGCAAGTTTGGCATGTGGGACACAGGGCATTGTATGTGTCAGTTCTTACTGGTTATCCATCAGCCCGTGAGAAAGAGTGTTGACTGGCTTTTCATGAATGGCAGGAACTCTTTCTCCTGATGGTGACACTTCCTATTGCAATCACCTCAGACACAATCAAGAACTCCACTCTTGTTCCCTCAGGCTAAGGAAGGCTGAGATTCTGGGAGAGAATTTATGAGGGTGAGAATAAGGAGCCAGAAGATCTGTTTTCTCCCATTTAGGAATTTCTCTTCTTGGCCACCAAAGTGGGAATTGATAGGCTATCTCTCCTTGCCACACTTTTGGATCAGATGCCAGAGGATTTCCTTTCGTGGGGAGTTGGGAAAAAGTGGGAGGAAATAAACCAGCTCTTAGGAAGTTTTCCTTATCATAAATACTGAAAAACAGAGTGGAAAGGTCCTAGTCTCTCCCATTCTTTCTTCTTCTCATATATGTGGACATATGTATACATATGACATCACTTTTAGTAGCATGTAAATATTTTGGAGACCGTCTAATCATTGATGTGCTCTTTATTTCATTGAGAATGGAAGGATTTTTTAAAAAAAATATGGTGAGAAATAATGAGATGAGATGCACGAAGGCTAGGTATTTCCCCAAAGCTGAGGGTCATTCTTGCCTTCTAGGTTGGGAAGTAGGCTTGCAGTTGGTGTGAGGAGGAAGGCAGCTGCCGTAGGAGGTGAGGCAACAGACGAAGGTAGTTTCTGGTGAATCTCTGCTGCCTTGTTGCACAGTCATTCGTAAGGCAGAGTTTTCTTCATGTACAATAAATATAACTTGGTATGTTGTTGTAGAATACTGTCTTAAGGTGTGTGACTTTTGTTTATGTTGCATTTGTTTAGCTCTGACCCCCCAGATAATAATAATAATAATAATAATAATAATAATAATAATAATAAGCCTCTGTGTGTGTTTACTTGGGAGCTAGGTGGTAGGCCCCCCAAAAGAGCCAAAAAAACCAAACAACAACAATATGTACTGTGTAACAAGAGGTGTTCTTGGAGGATGGAGGGATGTATAGTGTAGTGTCAGACAAAACAAAAACCCCTTGTTCTTACAGATCTTCATGAGAATCAGAGTCACTAGCAAAGGTGGAGGGTAAATGAAAGGCGTATTTCATACGGGATGGCCGTTGTAAGGGTGATGCCCTGTGCAGGTGAGATGGAGCGGGTGGAGGAGAGCAGCCACCCTCTCTGACGTGATCCTATTGGATGCGATGTGACTGAGGGAAGAGCCAGTCAAGCGGAGAGCAGAAGGAAGGCGATCCCAGGTAGAGGAAAGAAACAGCAACTAAAAAGGCTCAGAGAGGCGTGGATTTGGAGTGTTTGGGAGAGGAAACGTCAGCGTGGGGAGAGATGCTGGATAACATGTAGCCCCGGGAGAGGGCCGAGAGTGGTGAGGGAGATAGGGTTCAAGACACAGGAGGCTGGCAGATTTTATGGAGCCATCAAACTTGGCAAAGGGGCTGGGAAGAAAGTTGCTGGAGGTACTTAAGTGGAGTTGGCCTTTACCCGGTGAACACTAACCACTCCCCCACCCCACCCCCACTGCACAGACTTGCAGCCTCAGGTGGCTGACTCACTGGCAGTCACCGAGTTTCCCTGTCATCCCAGCCCAGGGCACAGGCATATGTGTGTACACAGGGGCCGGACACCGAGAACTCGCCCTGTATTCATCACAGCCTCTCAAAGAGACTCACATCCTTGCTTTGTAATGATTTCTCAGCTGTTCTCAGGATTGAATATCCCATGTCTCTGTGAAGCTTTTTTTTTTTTTTTTTTTGGTTTTTCGAGACAGGGTTTCTCTGTGTAGCTTTGCACCTTTCCTGGAACTCACTTGGTAGCCCAGGCTGGCCTTGAACTCACAGAGATCCGCCTGCCTCTGCCTCCCAAGTGCTGGGATTAAAGGCGTGCGCCGCCACCACCGCCTGGCCTGTGAAGCTTTTAGATTGGCGGGTAGCATCTAAACCCACATACCACAAATTAATTATCTATTTAAATTAAGTCACAGCTGAAAACAATTAGCAAAACAGCTGCTGCTGAGCAGGGCAGTATTCTAAATAATCCGAAGGCCTTGGCCTCCCTGAATTTATTTCTTATCCTCTGTCTGTCATCTGGGTTCTTTGTACAGAAGTCTTGTCTCTTTGTCATGGGAATGTATTATCTGTGGCAGTTTCTCCTCCATCCTTCTCTAGACATGATCTTGGAAATGTGAGACTACTGCAAAGATCTGGGATTTACTATTTCTGATAAAAATAGTGCAGGTTTATCAGAAATGCTCAGATGTTCTGTAAATTTTCAATTATCCTTTGTCTCTCTCGACCTGCATACCACTCACTGGGAAAGACTGGCCTGGTTTTTAGAGAGAAAATTGCTTTTGAGGTTCTTTGATATGTTCATTTCTCATTACCTATCCACTAGTAACTTTCATTTGGCTTTTAAAAAAACTTTTAATGATTTATTTTTATGTACATTGTATTTTGCCTGTCTGTGTGTCTGTGTGAGGGTGTAAGGCCTCCTGGAACTGGAGCTACAGACAGTTGTGAGCTGCCATGTGGGTACTGGGAATTGAACCCGGGACTTCTGGAAGAGCAGCCAATGCTCGTAAGCACTGAGCCATCTCACCAGCCCCCTACTTTTGGCGTTTTGATTCCATTTCTCCCCTTTTGAAATGGGGTCTTGCTAGGTAGTTCAGGACTTCTGACCTTCCCATGTCAGCTTCTCAACTACATGTGGTCTTACGTGCTCAACTTTGTATTCTTGTTCTCTCGATGGACAAGTGGCATGAAATCTAGAACTGGCTCCTGTGTGAGAGGACAGCACTGGTGTCTCGCGGTTTTCACCTCAGCATCTTCTTTTCCTGGCATTGTGTTCAACATAAAGAGGTAGCAAACAGTTGACAGACAACACAGCTGTTAGGGTGCTTTATGTTGCTGTGATAAACACTGTGACCGGAATCAGCACGAGAAGGAAAAGGATTCATTTGCCTTATAAGCGACAGTCCACCCTGGAGGGAAAACTCAAAGCAGGAGCTTGAAACAGAAACTATGAAGGAATAGTACTTACTGGCTTCTTCCCTTGGCTTGCTCAGGTACCTGCTCAAACAGCCCAGGCCCACCTGCCCAAGGATGACACCTCCCACAGTGGGCAGGACCTTCCCACATCAATCAGCAATTGATGCCCCACCGATATACCCACAGGCCTAACTGATGGTGGCAAGTCCTCAACTGAGATGTCCTCTTCCTGGGTGTGTCAAGTTGATGACCAAAATTAGCCATCACCCACCTCGTGCTTACATCAGTGGTTAATCTTAATCTATTAGCTCAGTTATAAAGCTGTCACAACCAGCATTCATCCTGGTAGTTATTGTGGTTCCCAGCGTGTTATTTGAAACGTTCCTCCCACTAGAGAAAACAGGTTTATTCCCATGAATTTGTTCATGCTAGTTGAAACTAAGCTGTGGCATGGTGGTTGTACTTGTTTCTCACCCCTTGAGTTTGTGAGGCTGAGGCAGGAGGATCAAGAATTTGAGGACAGTCTGAGGGTACATAAGAGAGTTGTCTTTGAAAAAAAAATATCAAACTAGATCAGAACCAAAAACCAAATGACAAAGAAAAACACCCAAGACTGCAGGGAAAAATAAGTTTTCTTTTTCTGGAAAATTGCAATGTATTTATGCTGGAAGGGGTGGATATGTAGATGCCTGTGGGTGAGTGTTCTTACACTTGTTTTCATGTGCAGCAAACTGTCAGTACAGTTTCATAATCCCCAATTGACGGTGACTGGTGTCGGGTTACTCAGGTTTGTGGCTGCATTAATGAGGCATGTAAGTGTGCCATCAACATGAATAGCAGTTAATGGACCTTTGAGGAAGAAGACATCTTAGCTGGGCCTGGTGACTCAGGTCTGCCACCTCAGGCCTATCATCACAGCTGCTCTGGAGGCTGAGACAAGAAAGCTGGAAAGTTCGAGGCCAGAATGGACAAATTAGTAAGCCCATGTTTCAAAATTTGGGTCACATAACATGTATGAAGGGGAAAAAAAAGCTTACAAATATTGTATTTATAGTTTCATGCATTTTTTTTTTCCTAAGCAATTTCAGACTACAAGTTCATTACTTTTTAAGTTTCAACTGCCTATTCTGGTGTTTCCTAGATACTTATTTGGCATTTACCTAGTGTGAGACATATTTAGTGCCCCGGGGCATAAATAACTCTTTATCAGAACTGACAGGGCTGGGTGAATTGCTAGAGAGTGGGGCAAGAGATGGGTGGGAATGGGGGGGACTAGGAGTGGGTTCAGGAGAAAGTTGTAGAATAAGGAAAATCATAGATTAACTAACCCCTGTTTATGGATGACTGACTCTATTTAAATATTGAAAAATAGCTAGGGATGTTACCCAGTGGTATTTTCCCAGCATGCACAAGGCATGGAGTTCAGCCCTTGTACCACACACACAGAAACAAACACACTAGAAGATAAAGTTATGCCACGTGGTGGTGGTGGTGGTGGTGGTGGTGGTGGTGGTGGTGGTGGTGGTGGTGGTGCATGCCTTTAATCCCAGCACTCTGGAGGCAGAGGCAGGCAGACCTCAGAGTGAGTTCCAGGACAGTCAGAGCTACACAGAGAAACCCTGTTTCAAAAATCGAAAATAAATAAATATAAAAATGAAATAAATAAAAGAAATGAGCATCATAATCTGGGCATTCAAGTGGTATGAGTAGGTGTTTAGCTGTTTTTTAATAGGAATTAATTTATATTTTAATGGAGTATGATAATTTTAAATTTTCTGTAGTAAATGGATTTTATAACAGACAGTACCATCAAGTAGCTTGATATTTGGGGTGAAGAGTCCAGGTAAACATCAAAGGACTTAGTTTTACTGTATTTCAGCCATCTTACAAATGAGTTCATTTTTTTTTTTTTAAATAAATAGGATATTAGAGGTTGTCATTCTGTCTGAACATAGAGCATACATGTTTGCAGACTTTGACTGTTTTGAAGGACAGAGCTTGCCTACTTACTACAAAAGCCCATTTTATAATTTTGTGGGTAGGGCTCTTTGATATTCTAAAGAATCATATTCTTAGGCCAGGTGGTGGTAGTGAACATCTTTAATCCCAGCATTAGGGAAGCAGAGGCATGTGGATCTCTAAGTTCAAGGCCAGCCTGGTCTACAGAATAATTCCAGGATAGCTAAGACTGCACAGAGAAACCCTGTCTTGAAAAAAAAATCATATTTTTATAAAACTTCTGCCCAAACATTCTACCTATAAACACTAGTATTCCAGTACACAAAACATTCATATAACATTTCTTCAGCATGGTTTTCTCTAGGGAGTTTTTAAACTTCTCTGCTCAAAAGTCTGAAAATCTACTGCCTTTTAAAATGCACTGCATCATGTTGTTAACTTTCTTCCCAGTGTTTCCACAGAGCTCCGAGTGCCTCAGCTGGGTCTGTGTGCTGACACTGAGGGCCACGGCTTCTGCTTCCCACTCTCCCATCTAAACCAGATTATAAGGTTTTCTCAGATTCCAGTCTCATGGCCTATTACCTCCTGACTGAATAAGTTGCCTAACTTCTCTGAGCCTTCCTTTCCTTACCGATCAGTGGATTGGAAGTGATGGCCATGGCATAATCGTTATAATGACTGAAGCGAAAACATGAACAATTCACAATAGTTTCTGCCACATATTCAACATCATTGCCAATGTTATCTGCTGCTGTTAGTCTTACAACTTCATTCTTTTTGTGTTTGTTTTGAGACAGGGTCTCTCTATGTAGCCATTGTCCTGGAGCTCACCCTGTAGACCAGGCGATCCTAGAACTCACAGAGATCCACCTCTGCCTCCTGACTTGCTGGGGTTAAGGTGTAAGCCACCACTGCCCAGATTTATAACTTCATTCTTATATCTGTCATTGCATTATCTCGGATAGTTAAACTTATCTTCCTCCAGAAAGTCTTTCAGGCTGACCGTACAAAGTGATGCTTTTTTTTTTTTGTCTTGTCTGTTTCTTAGGGACTGACTTTAGTCTGGACTATATGATGTAAATATTATGCTGCTTTAGTTATTCATCGGTGTATAACATCACATATGTGCACATATATTTTGTACTGTGCATTGTACTGCTCTGAAGGAACTCATGACAAGATGTGTGCGTGTGTGGATGTGTGTGAACACATACATGACTTCCATGGACTGGGGGAAAGAAAATGTTCATTGAACAGGGCTATGTGTTTCTCACAGTTAACTAAAGTCAAATAATATAGTCTACTCATTAGATACATTTAAAAGTTTAGTATCTTTAGTTGGAGTGTTTTATGGCTTAAAAATATGGTTATCTACTCACTCCCGTCCCCCAAATATATATGTGGTTATTCAGTAGTCATGGTAGCATACCCATGTAATCCTAGCACGTGAGCGGTGGAGGCAAGGGGATCAGGAATTCAAGTCTAATCTCAGCTTGAGCTCTTTAGTGAGTTTGAGGCCAGCCTGGCTTATGTGATACTTTGCCTCAAAATACACACACACACACACACACACACACACACACACACACACACACACACATCCACACACCTATATGCACGTGCACACACATACACACACACATATACACACATATGCACACAGAAATACACATAGAGAGCTATAGTTATCCCTGTTTTTAACATGGCTTTAGGTGTACTTTCTTAGGCCCTTCTGTATCTTGAGCCAAATTTGGGGTATCAGCAGATAAGGAAGTCCTCTTTAAGGAGAATTCCAGAAGGAAGCTTGGTGGGACGTAGGAGGGTGGGGACAGCATTTCAGAAACATTATTAGAGCAGAACATTCAAAGTCAAGCACCTCCAGATACGAGACGTTGGAGGCTGTGAGAGTCAGCTGGTTCAAAATTAAAGCCCGGGGCCAATATGTTTATTTAAATTTCCCCTTAAGGCTATGCACTTAGGGACACAGCTCAATATAGGCAGTTTATAATAGGCAAATTCTGTGTCTTGTTCTAAACTTGGATCTGGGCTTGATCTATGGCATCTAATAGCTTCCTTTTAACTGCTGTTCTTATAAGAAAATGATTGAAATGCTAATATTGGCCCCACATTGGGAGTTTCAAAGATAGAAATGTTATTTATTACTTGTAATTTCTGAGGTGTAGGAGTCTAAATGCAGTGTGATAGAGACATCCAATGGGAATCCATCAATAGCTTTCCTGAAAATATATGCTTTGAAACTTGTGCTACTAAGAGCTTATTTTATGTAATAGAAGCTGTGTGAATCTCTCTACAGCTTCCTTTTGTATAATTATATTTTTCATAATTTATATGGAAATTTTGGTCCATTATACTTGATATGTATTTGTTAGCATTGCAGTTAACTTTTGGCTTCCTTTCTCTCCCTTGAACTGATGAACCATTTGTCACTCACTGTTTAGTGACGCTGAATGTCTGCATTATATTTAATTCTCGGAAACCTTACCTACTGCCCAGATCTGATGTTACCAATGTTACCTACTGTTGCCTAGTTGCATTTCATTCTGGTGGTTTGCTTCCTTGGAAATTAGGCCGTAGGACCCAACACATTCTAACCTTAAGAACTTAAAACCCTAGGGAAGAAATAGATGTGGAAGGAAGAACATTGGCAGTTACTTGAGCTGTAATTAGCCTGGAGATGGAATGTAAGGGGGAGGTCTACGAGGAGGATAGGAAAATAGAAAGCAGATATCTCAGCACATTGCCAGCACTGTGCAGGGCAGAGTGTACCCTTATGAGTATGTGCTTATCAAACAGATAAGTGTAATTATCATTCTTGGGTTTGCTTATTGAACTTGCCAGTTTGCTGGTTCAAACAGAAAGAGTTTTGGGCATTAATATTCTTTTTTTTTTTTTTTAAAAAATTGTTTTTGTTTTTGTTTTTGTTTTTCAAGACAGGGTTTCTCTGTGTTGCCTGGTTGTCCTGGAACTCACTTTGTAGACCAGGCTGGCCTTCAACTCACAGAGATAGCCTGCCTCTGCCTCCCAAGTGCTGGGACCAAAGGCGTGCGCCACCACTGCCTGGCTTTATAGTATTCTTATAAGCAGATTGCATTGCATTTCCAGTCACACCTGCCTCCTGGGAGCTGTTCCTCTCAGGTGAACTGATCACTCGGGCGGATGTCTAAACCATCTGTCTGTAGGGAGAGTCCCAGTTATGTGACTCTGGGTGAAATTTCAACTGGGTTGGCAAGACCCCTATGTCTTGGACAGTATTATTTTCTTCAACATTTTATGGAGATATATTAGATGTATAGAGGACTACACAACCCATGTGAGTAAATCTTGATAAATTCCGTCACTGTAAACAGACCCAGGTCAGCTGCCTTGGATGAAGCTAAAGAATGTTCCTGACTTCAGGAGGGCACCACCTGCTCCTAATCAGTCACTTCTCCTTTCCTCATATGTGACCGTGACGTGGACTTTCATCATGGTTGGTAGCATTTTGGCTGCCTCTCTTTATCACTGCTGTTGTGGACTCTGAAGACTCCATGGTGCTGTGAGGGCCTGACCTCCCTGGAAGCTGTTATATGTCAGCCCTAACACTCTGACCAGGGATGTGGCCTTATTCGGAAATAGGGTTGAATCTGATGTAATTAAGATGAGGTCATACCAGAATAGGATGGGCTCTTAAAACAATGAACTGGTGTAAGGTCTGAGGCCCGGTGGAAACACGAGGTGAAGGTAGAGCGATGTATTTATTAGCTCAATCAGAATGCTCAAGATTGATAGCAAAGCACGCAGAGCCAGAGATGAGGATCGGTTCCACAACTCTCAGAGGGAACATGGGCCTGCCAACACACCTTCCTTTTGACTTCTAGACTTCAGAACTGTGTGAGAAAGCATTTATCTATTCCTTTAAGTCCCCCACGCATCGCCATTTCCATTCCTGAAGCCCTGGACATTGGTCCAGAGAGTCTACAGGA